ATCAGCATATTATACTGATTTCTGAAGATCATGTGACACTGAAGACTGGAGGAATGATGCTGAAAATACAGCTGCGCATCACAGAAATACATTACAGTTTATAAAAAATTACAATTGAAAACTGTTATTTTCAATTGCCTCAGAGAGCAAAAGAGACTTCTTTCATAAATATTAAACAATCTCCAACAATAACACACACACACACACACACACACAGGTTTGTTTTTATGGTTTAAGAGGACTCTCCATAGGCGTAATGGTTTTTATACTGTACAGACCGTATATTCTATTGTCCTACACCAACCCTACCCCTAAACCTACCCCTCACAGGAGACTTTCTGCTATTTCAGATTTTCAATACACTCCATTCTGTGTGATTTATAAGCGTTTTGAAAAGTGGGGACATGGGGTAATGTCCTGAAAAGTCACCTTCTCCTTGTAATACCTGTCATACCTTTGTCATTATACACATTTATGTCCTCATTTGTCACAAAACGCGTACACAGAGAGAGAGAGAGACACACACACACACAGAGACACACAGAGACACACACACACACACACGCTGGAAACACACTCTGGTGATGGTATAACACATGCAGTGTCTGGCAGTCATGCTGAAATCAGCTCTGATCCTCTTTAAATCTGTCTGCTCGGTTCACAGGTCGCAAAAAAGGTTCGTCCGACAATCAAAATGTTAAGTAAAAATCAAATGTTTTGAGTCATGCTTAATATTGCACCCCATATTTTACAGTCGTGAAAGTAATGTCACAATGCAAAAGAAAAAAGCATTAAGTGAACTTGATGTTTTAAAGATTAGAATGCACTCACATTATGTTTTGAGCATACTGTTTATTATTCAGCTTCAAAATAATAGTTTTCATAAAAACAGCTTTCATTTTCATATGTTCATAACATCTTTCTCATTTAAAGTATATCCTCGTGAGAATATTTAACCAAGGATCAAAAGTGATGTGGCGCCCTCCTGTGGCCATAAGATGAAACACTACACCTTCCCGCCAGACACTGCAGGTGAAAATAACGAGTCATTTGTGGAATTAAATGTATTTTGTGAATAAAGTGGAATGTTTGGGATTTTTGGAAAATAAATAAAACATGGGCTAGTTGACAAAAAGTGCAATTACATAAATCTCCAGCTGTGTTGCCATAAATGGAAAATTAGACATCCTTCCATTTTTAATGAAAACTCCTTATGAAGAGTGATAAATAAATAATATAAAATTAATTATTTTTATTATAAAAAAAAAATAAATTAAAATAAGATTCTCCCAAAATTCTATATTCATTGCAAAAATATCATCATGAAAATATAATATTTTTATTCATAATATCATCTAAATATATTAGATCACAATATAATCTTTTTATACATAAAATACATTTAAAATTGTATTAATTGTTTCATAATCAGTTTTACACTGATGTCAGACTGATTCATTCATTTGATATAATTTTTTTTTTTAATCTTTAGGTTTGAGTATATAAAGTTATTAGGTTCTTGCTTTTTTTATAGTGAAACCCTTGCTGTCTTTTTCCTCTAGCTTGTATTAATCTGAAACATTGTATCGCAAGCACTTCCTGTGTTTATTTGAATCGCTTGTTGTTTTCCTCAATTGTGTCACTTTTGATAAAAAAGATATATTCTCTGAAAACATGTCTTAATATCTTACAGTGTTGCTTCTCAAGTACATTTTTCTTGTTTTAATGTTCCAAAGATTTATATTTTTAATACGCACTGTTCTTTTCAACTTTTTTTTTCATCAAAGAATCCTGAAAAGTATCACAGTTTCCAAAAAAAAAATTAAGCAGCAAAACAGTTTCCAACATTGATAATAAATCAGCATATTGATAATAAATTTTAATGATTTCTGAAGGCTGATGAAAATTCAGCTTAAATCACAGGAATAAATTACATTTTAAAGAATATTACAATTTAAAAAAATTATTTTACACTAATAATATTTCACTATATTACTGTTTTTACTGTATTTGTTTTACAAATCTTGATCCCAAACTGTGTAAGATTAAGATAAGTTTTAATATATATAAAATATAACTTATCTTAATCATTCACCTGATTTTTTTTTTTTTACATTTTATTCCTAAAAACTTGGTGAATATGTTTTTTCTCTCTCTCTCTAGACAGTATTTACTGATTTATTGAGAAATAACAATAGATGTCCTTTTTTAACAAGAATTTTAAACCCGAATTTATCCAGATTTATATTCTGAAAATGTAAGCAATTTAGGGCATATTAAATTAGATAATGCATCTTAACATTTCAGAAAACTTGTAAAAAAAGAACATGTAACGGCAATCTTTTCCAGTTTTTTTTATTACCTGTAGTGTGTTATTACCTGTAGTGTTATTACCTGTAGTGTGTTATTACCTGTAGTGTTATTACCTGTAGTGTGTTATTACCTGTAGTGTGTTATTACCTGTAGTGTTATTACCTGTAGTGTGTTATTACCTGTAGTGTTATTACCTGTAGTGTGTTAATACCTGTAGTGTTATTACCTGTAGTGTGTTATTACCTGTAGTGTTATTACCTGTAGTGTGTTATTACCTGTAGTGTTATTACCTGTAGTGTGTTATTACCTGTAGTGTTATTACCTGTAGTGTTATTATACCTGGTGTGTTAATCATCTTAACATTTCAGAAAATTACCTAAAAAAGAACATGTAACGGCAATCTTTTCCAGTTTTTTTTATTACCTGTAGTGTGTTATTACCTGTAGTGTTATTACCTGTAGTGTGTTATTACCTGTAGTGTTATTACTTGTAGTGTTTTGACGTAATGCGTGAAGAAATTAAGTGCATAGATTCAAAACTCTTCAAAATATGTGACTTTTAAAGCTTGATGCCACAAGAAAATAAACCTTCAGCCAAATCTAGATGTCTCGAGGTTTTGAAAGCAAGCATGGAGCAGAAATCAGCATGTTACTGAAGTCCGTTCAGCTCTGGCAGCAGCACGTGTGGTGTTTTCCCACAGATGTGAAGTCCAGAGCGCTGGAGGACTACACCTCTGGAGAGAGAGAGAGAGAGAGAGAGAGACAGAGGCTTTAAGAGCGGCAAAAATATCAAGAGAGGTACCTGCTCCAAACTCTCTCTCTCTCTCTCTCTGTGTGTGTGTGTGTTTTCTCCTCCTCGAGGCAGCTGGCAGCTCCTCCTTCTCAGATCTAGTTCTGCTGTGGTTCAGGACTCGATCAGAACCGACTGTCTGCTCTTGCTGTGATGCACACAAACACACCGACTGATTCACGTGTGAACTTATGGAGTACACTCACATCTATCTGCTGTGGATCGCCGCTCTGATGCCAGGTGAGTGTGTGAGCTTATGTCAGTGCGCTTAGATAGACTTTGAGGACACAACAGTCTCCACAAGTGAGGCAAATCTGATTGCCCTCCAGCAAGAATATGCAGCAGTGAAATGAGCTCAGATCGTTTCATGAGAAATGTATGAGTTCATATTGAGATCTTGGGCACAGTTTGAGACATTGTTGAGATCTGAAACTCCAGAGGAGACAGATGTGAGACTACCGGGGATTTCTCTCAGGAGAAACCTGTGGATGTTTAGGTAAAAGATGTGCTTGATTTGAATCTAAATCCTGTCTAGGATGGTGTTTCGAGATATTAAAGAAATTATTTTTATTTAACGAGCATGATAAAACTCATAAAAGTTCTCGGTTTTATAAGTTCTGAAATCTACTGCATTGTATTTAAATATCTATAATTTAGTTGCTCATGGTTTGGGTTTTATCATGTGAGTTGATATCAAGTTCAATAAAGTGAATCCCAGCTAACAGGAGACGTTCTGGCAAGGTTCTCTCAAAGTTATGAACAAGTTCCTCCAGTAACATTAGCTAATAGAACGTTTGTTCAAAATCATCTGGTCTTTAATCATGTTCATAAACCATGAGCACATGTTTTTTTTTTTCCGAAACATTTTTTAAATGCTATTGTTTTCAGAGAACATTCAAAAGTAACATTGGTGGAAAGTGATCAAATGGAATCACTTACACACTCACTCATCTAATGGACCTACACACAAAATGTACAGAAATGACATTTCTGTAGCAAAACATTCTTTGACCTGGGTCTCTATTGCTCTGGGAACGTAATAAAGGAGGAACTGTGTGACCTTCATCCAGAACATCCAGATGGACTTTTATGAGCGTGATCAAGTTCCCGGATCAAACACACAATCTGGATCCACTTACACACTCACTCATCTAATGGACCTACACACACGTCACATGTCATACACGGGTTCGATCGCATTAAATGTATGCAGAGAAGCTCAATTCTGGCCGACTGAGTCCCTTCTCTATACATATACACTGAGACCTCGTGTTTTGGTCAGTATTCCTTCTATTTTTTGAAATTGAGATTTATACATCATCTGAAAGCTGAATAAATAAGCTTTCCATTGATGCATTGTTTGTTAGGATAGGACAATATTTGAAAATCTGGAATCTGAGGGTGCAAAAAAATCTAAATATTGAGAAAATCATCTTTAAAGTTGTTCAAATGAAGTTCTTAGCAATGCATATTACTAATCAAACATTAAGTTTTGATATATTTACGGTAGGAAGTTTACTAAATATCTTCATGGAACATGATCTTTACTTAATATCCTAATGATTTTTGGCATAAAAGAGAAATGTATAATTGTGACCCATACAATGTATTGTTGGCTATTGCTACAAATATCCCCCAGCGGCTTAACACTGCTTTTGTGCTGCAGGGACACGTATGTCGTAAAGGCTTTTTAATGAGCTGAGAAGTGGTTACTTCAAGTCTTAGCTCATGAATACAGACCGATCCAACCTAGACGTGCCAGAACTTCAGCTAGCTGGATCTCCAAGTGCTGTGGCTCCCAGACTGGTTCATAATCTTAAATAATAATTGTAATATTTTAAATATTCGTAATAGTTGTAATTTGGGAGTAGCATCCAGTCAAACCTGTTGTGCATGCCTTAATTTGCTTGCATTAGCATACGTAAGAGTCAGAAAAAGATTTGCTGAACGATTTCTAATGAGAAGAATAAAACAAAGGAGCCTTTCAGTCCGAATGCATGAAACTGGGAATTGCGTTAGCATGCGGCGTGCAGCAGAGGGTGCAGATTTACTACACTCTTCCCTGCGTCTCTGAGGAACAAGAGCTCTTAAAATACTGTCATCTAGAAACAACAGACGTCTCTCCATGTGGAACAAGTCTGGGGCTAAATATTTTTAAGGAATGCTTTGGAAAATGGACCTAACTCCTGGTCTCCACCCATTAATGACAAGTGGCATGATCTTTAGTTCAAAACACATGTGAAAGAAGGACTATATTTGATGTCGCTGTGATGCATTACATTTAAATACTTACAGAGAAATACTTTCTCTTTGATCTGATTGGCTATCATGAGCAATGAGGAGAAAATAACATCCATCTGACAGATTTTAACCTACTTTCATCTTAATCAAAACCAGTTTGAGTTTTTTTCTCTCCAATATTTACTTTAGATACTGACCTAATTTTATGTTGTCTTATGTGACTTGATGTCACAATTTTTTCTCTTTTTTTGAGGACAGGTGTGTCTTTATTAAGCGATCAGACCGGCTGGATCATAAAACAGGTGAAAAAGCACCAGAGAATTACATTGAGCCATATCTAAAGACTTGGACGAGCCACCTGATCAGTAATTCAAATTTAAGAGCACTTTCCCAGAAACCCTCTGAGAAGACTTTATCATGCTGGAATCTCTCGCAGTCACTTGTCATGTGAGTGTAACGTCTGCTTCATCTCTGGCCCAGTGTGTTGGTCATGGATTCATTTCAAGCCAGAGCCGGTCTGTGGATAAACCCACGTCCTTTCTGTAACACAGATACACAAAACCTCTTAAACAGCCTAAACTGGTTTCAGCAGGTCTCCTAGTCTAGTCATGCTGGTTTGCTAAAACTTTAAGATCCAGTAGCTCTTTTCTCAAACCTTGAAACCTTGAAAAACAGACTGTAATGCAGCCACAGATTGTTGTTTAGAGGGAGC